GAGTGTGTTCTGTCCAGCGTGCAATTTCAGACCGTTTGAGGGAGGACGCCAGCTGCCAGACGTGGTCCGGATCCATACCGGCCGGATCTTTCTGCAGAGCCACCAGGAAGATGTTCTTTTCCTTATAAGATGTGTAGAGAGTCAGAATGCCCATCATGATGAAGTATGTGATGAAGCGGAGCTAAGGAACACACACTCTTCATCATCATGTCATGTTAATTCCTCACATCATCTCTCTGATCTTTATTTCAGCTCCGGATTGTCTCGGTTCTCTTTTAAAGTTTTAGCTCCTTTACCTTTTATTTACCAGCGGTATCAACTAATTTATCCTCCAGCAAACGCAGAAACATCCCAAGTGAGAAAGACCCGGGTGAGAAAGACCCGGGTGAGAAAGACCCGGGTGAGCTTGCAGCAGTGGAAGGATATGAGATGACACAGCAGGCCAGGACCGGTCTGGACTCAGGAAACGGGTACAGGTAGTCCCAGACCAGCGCCAGCATGGCGAACAGACAGGAGACCGTACAGATCATCAGCCGGCTGTCCACAAGACGGAAGTTCTCCGTGTGCCCGTACTTCTCCAGCAGCACCTGTAGGGGCGCAGGTACACACCTATTAGAACTAATTAAACAGAGTATCATGTTTATTTAAATGTGCTTCGGTAAAAATACGGTTTCAGAGTCAGAGCCTACATTTGTTTCTATTTACCAACTGAAGTGTGTCACCTGGTTTTTATTGCCTTAAACAAACACAAACTCAGGTTTAGTTTAAATCAAACGTTCAGACTCGAGACTTCTGGTGACACGGTGGACACAGAGAGAGAGAGCGCTCCACCAGAAAATAAAAATGTGACATCCAACAATAAGTGTTCAAACTTTGATGAACTCTGACAAAGTGTCTGCAAACACAAGACGAAAAACTCTTAAAGATTTCTGGAAAGAAAAGGAAGGGAAATGTGGACTGCAGAGTGCTGCTAGCTTAGCTACCGAAGCTAACATCCAAAGGCAATCAAACGTGATGCTGCTGGGGGAGTTGGAAAAGCTGCAAGAAAACCAGATGGACGTAACAACACTACGATGTCCCTCGAACGACTGGAGCAAGAGGTTTCCCAAATTTAAAAACGCGAGGAGCAAAAGTGACAATTGGTGGTGCAGAGGTTACAGAGGGTGGGCCTGTGATCGAAGGGTCGTCGGTTCAACTCCCCAGACCGACGACATCAAAATGTGGGTGGAAAAGGTGAAATACCCACACCTGTCTCCACCCTCATTTGCCCCACACTGGGCCCACGAGCAATTAACCCTCCCAGCTGCTTCCCGGGCGCCTAAGATGGCAGCTCTCTGCTTCACATGAGCGTTCACATATACAATGAGAAAAATGCAGAGAATTAATGTCCCCAATGGGGATCAATATCCATCCATCATCTTCCGCTTATTCCGAAGACGGGTCGCAGGGGCAGCATCTTGAGCAGGGAGGCCCAGACATCTCTTTCCACAGCCGCCTCCTCCAGATCTTCTGGGAGGACTCCAAGGTGTTAGACTCCAATAAAAATAAAAAAATTAGAAAAGACAACCAGCATCATAGAAGACTCCGTCACGAGACACCAGAGGGCGCTGTGGTACCTGGTTCACCAGGATATGGAGTCATCAGTGAAATGTGAAGATCTTCAAAATGGATTAAGAAGAAACATCAAGATTTTCCAGATTCCAGAAGGAAAGAATCTGGTTGAATTTATGAAGCTCTATCAAAGTAATAATCTAACTTTCTTACATTTTTCTACCTGGATTATTGAGCACGGATTATTAGAATTTATAAGAGTTGCTTCAAGAAAAACTGAAACTCGCACCAGAAATGAAAATCAAGATTGAGAGGGCACATCGCTCACTTGGACCCAAACACAGGGACCCACAGAGGTCCCCCGGACCACTCCTAGTGAGAGTCCTCGATGCAGCGATAAAAGATTAAATCGTAGGACGAGCATGGAGTCAGGGACAGGTCGTCAAGGACAAACGGATCTTTTTGGACCAAGACTAATCTCCTGACCTACAAAAGAAAAGAGCAAAGGTCTACCAAGCTGTCAAACAGCTAAAGAAAAAAGGCACACAGGCAAAATGTTAGCATCCAGCACAAAAATAAATCTGAACAACGGGGAGAAAACCTTCACAGCACTAACAAGAGCTGAACTGCTGCTGGAGGACCTGAGTGGAAGCAGTGGAGAACGAGAGCACGTCGAGGAGGAGCAACATCCTCCAGAAGAGAAAGAGGGACCTGGCGCTGTCAACACCAGACCTCTCTGTATGGGTCCAGCATTGGAACGTCAACATGCCAAATGTTTGAACCACAGCAGTGAGGACCTCTTCAGAGGACGATCAGGATTTTGGCTATCTTTCTGGCTAAACCAGCGTCAGGGAAGTCCTTCCAGGTGGATGGTGTCAGGCCTCTCTCGTGGCACAATCTCATTCATGTCCTTGGCATCCCGGAAAAAGGAGTCCCAGTCGTGACGTGTGGGGAAATCCATTTTATTTTCTACTGCACAAACCTTCAGTACGTCTGTAAATCCACTGAGCTTTGTGGTCTTTCCACCCAGTCGACTCAACATGCGAAGCAAACATCAGCGAGACTCTTGCCAAAAACAGTGGCAAGACATTGGAGCGAACCACATTCTGTAGAGTGAAAAATATAGCCATGCAAGTATAAAAATGCTACTGCATGCTAGTTTAGAGCGACCTCTGACCTGACGCGGAACCAGCGTTGGAACTGAGGCAAGGAGAACCCTGATCCAACAGCCCACATCAAGGTAGCTTCAAAGATAGAACGAACTCAAATCCTGAAGGCGATGTAATCACGGTAAAGTAGAATAACTGTTGATGGTCGTCACAAATTTACACCAGTATTTCAGAAATCACTTCTTGGTCTGCTGCCTTCATACATCTCCTCCTACATGTCTCTGCGTGAGTGCAGCTACAGCGTGCGCTCTCAGGACATCATTACCTGCAGTGTTCCCTCAGTGAGGACTGAACTAGACAAAAGGACCTTCTCCTACTCCGCTCCGGTTTCCTGGAATATCTTGTAAAAAAACCTGAAGCTCTCGACCTTGACCTCTCCAAGTGGCTTCAAACATCTGATAAGTTCCTGGGAAAAACCAACGTAGACGTGTTCCTGTTTTTAGTATTTTACATCGCTTTGTCAATTTAGCTGTTTTTGTTTACTTTTTAATAACATTTCCTCCATTTGCTTTTCATTTGCGTCTACCGTTATCCGTGTTCTTTATCAAACACAGGTTTCTCTTGTCAACGAGTCCTCGAGGCTCAATGAGACTCACCTGTATAAAAGGCTGAATTTAATTATTTTGAAGTTTTATAGAGGGAAAAATTAAAATAACTCAATATTGAGAAAACCCTGGGTCATATTTACAGAGCTGCTTTCTTTTTCTTAAACTTCAGCACCAATTAAACCTTCGAACTTTTACTTACAGACAGCGTAGACTCAGAGGTCAGGTGCATTGAACAAGTATTGTTTTTTTTTTTTAAATAAAACATGTTAAATCATTTCATCTGGACCAGTTTAAGGGAGAAATGTTTCGTCTTCCATCCATGTGACTTCATCAGTATATAATTTATAATTTTCTTCCATTTATTTTTTCAATCTGTATGCCTCTTATGAATGTCCACCGTTGTCCATCACTCTTTGTTAAAACCAGGTCCCTCTTGTAAAAGAGTCCTCGAGTCTCAATGAGACTCACCTGTAGAAATAAAGGTTGAATGAATAAAACTAAGGCAGATGAGAAGTTTGAACCTAGTTCGAGTGGTGCGCACACTTGGACCTGCGGGCACTTTGTATTGAACATCGCCTCCACAGAGTCCTGACAGCAGCAGAGGTCAGACTCTATAAACGGAGGATGGCCGACAAGGTGGAAGTTCAAATTTGTGGCGTTCTGGATCAAAGTTTATTTACATTTGAACAAGTTAAGAACACTCGTATGGCAAAGTTACATAAAAATTATGACCTGTTAAAACTTTGAGTAATGGCCTTGATGAGATGTCGCCCTGGGTAGATGCATACACTGCACATTTGAGAAACCAGCAGAAAATCTTTGTTACTGTAAATGTTAACATTTCTGACGTCCCACTCACGGTTAGCTCATAGTAAATGTTTAATATTGTAAAAAAGAGACATTTAGATTTTAAAAAAAAAATTTCTAACGAACTCCCAAGTTTAACGACAAAAACATTCAAGGGCAGAAAAAAGCGAGAAGGACCAACTTGTCGATGAACGTCGTTTTGGCTGAGCTCGTGTCGGCCCTGCTGAAAAATGGACTTTTATGATTATACCGTCTCTACCTACACGCTGGAGTTTGTCCTCGAGTCTGGTGCCGCCGTGCAAAATCAACAAACTTGTGACATGCTCTCTAAGCAACAAAAGGTGAAGGCTTTGGTCTCTTCTCCCCAGCGGCCTTTTGTCACAGCTGCAGCCTCGAGCCGCCGTGAAGGAGAAGCAGCTGGATCTGCAGGTGCGTCGCCCCACCTTCACCGAGCTCTGGAGGGTCGGACGAGTCGACTCTGAGGTCAGAGGTCATTCTGGCTTCAATTAAACCTGAAGTTATAGCGATGATTAGGATGAAACTAAGAGACAAACCGTGTGTGACTCAGATTTGTCTTTGTACAAATTAAAATAAAATGGCAACCAAATTTGGTTTAATTTTGATTTATTTTTTCATTGAAATTTGAATCTAACTATTTTTGGAATTATTAAATTGAAATTTTTGCTGATTTTTGAACACCTTTGTCCTTATTTAAGTCTGGTCCCTCACAGAGACTTTAATCACGTGAATCTAAAGGACCGTCTCCCAAGCTTTTTTCAACATGTGTGCATACCAACACGTGGAGACAACACGCTGGACCGCGTTTACACGAACGTAAAAGATGCACACAAAGCTGAACCCCGCCCCCACCTAGGACTGTCAGACCACATCTCAATTGTCCTGGCTCCTGCTTACATGCCCCCGCTAAGACGCTCCAGACCGGTACAAAAGAAAGTTAAATGTTGGATCCAGGACAGTGGCCCCATACTGAGAGTCTGTTGGAGTCAGTCTCCCCACCATCAGACATCTACACCTCCAGATGCAGGAAGAGGGCCACCTGCATCATGAAGGACCCCACTCACCCAGCACACACACTTTTTGCCCCACTCCCCTCAGGAAGGAAGTTGAGGAGCATTAAGTGTAGAACCACTAGACTGAGGAACAGCTTCTACCCTGAGGCTGTTAAGACTCATGAATCTCTAACTAGAATAATCACTGTGGAAAATCACATCATGTTGCTGCTGATCTGTTTCATGTTGCTGCTGATCTGTTTCATGTTGATGTGTTCATTCGTGCTCATCATATATTTTATTGTTGGATGTAACTGGGACCCTGTGTACATAATTTCACTCCACCACATGTCCCACATGAGGTGGAATGACAAAGAATCTCTGACTCTTCAGGGCTTCATGTCAGACCAAACCTTGTCAATGAATCAGCTGTTTAACATTCGAGGAGCTCCAACCTTTTTGGCGGCATCGTCCAGAGAGTTCTTCACGGCGGCTCCGTCCCATTTATCGATCTTCACCGGCTTCTCATCGATCCTCCACTGAAACATCAGATGGGTTTAATTAAACACAGCGGGTTCACCTGTTCACAGGTGTTTCTTTCACTAACGGGTAATAAAAACACAGCTGGGCGATGAGGCGCAGGAGTTCACATCAACACAAACTTTTAAAAACTTGTGAAAACGTGGGTAATTCTCATGATGTGTTTTAGGTGCTGACAACAAACTAACTTTAGGACATGTTACGTAATCTGTGACACGAATTTCTCTCAAAAGGGTCCCAAACGTGTCTAGGACTGACTCCTGCAGGACTAAACACATCTGAGGCTACACCACATTTAAAAATACGAAGAACTGGTCCACATCTACCCGTCTGAAACAGCAGATCAAAAATCTTGGTGTTATTTTTGATCAGGACACGTCTTTTATCCCCCACATTAAAAACGTTACTAGAACCTCCTTCTTCCACCTGCGTAATATCACTAACATTAGAAACATCTGATCTAAAGATGATGCAGAAAAACTGGTCCATGCATTTGTCACGTCTAGACTGGACTATTGCAATGGTTTATTATCTGGGTGTCCAAATACTTCTTTAAAACGTCTTCAGTTGATCCAACATGCTGCTGCCAGAGTCTTAACTGGAGTTACTGGGAGAGATCATCTCTCTCCAGTTTTAGCTTCTCTCCATTGGCTCCCTGTCAAATCCAGAATAGAATTCAAAATCTTACTTCTAACCTACAAAGTCCTCAACAACCTTGCTCCATTTTATATTACAGATCTTATTGTTCCATATTTTCCTAACAGAGCACTTCTCTCTCAGACTGCAGGTTTACTTGTGGTTCCTAGAGTTTCCAGCAGCAGAATGGGAGGCAGATCTTTGTTATCAGGCTCCTCTCTTGTGGAACCGACTTCCAGTTTCTGTCCATGAGGCTGACACATTGTCCAGTTTTAAGACTTTCCTTTTTGATAAATCCTATAGTTAGGGTCGGCTTGGGTTTCCTGAGATATCCCTTAGTTATGCTGTTATAGGCTTAGACTACTGGAGGACAAGATGACTACATCTCCTCACTCTGCTGCTGTCTTTAATCAAACAATCATGTTTGTATTAGCAGTTCTATTTTTTCCTCTCCTTTAAAACTAAACCGAAACCATAGAAACTACCAGTGGCGTTTGGTCTAAGATTAATTTGCTCCACAAGGTAGTTACTCCTAATAAGTACTTGTTTACTGTGTTTGTTCTGTGTATTTCTAAACTATTTTGATAAATTTAAATGGCATTAAAAATACATTTTTAGTGATCCATTCTCCAGTTTTTTTTAAAACTTATTTTACAGTTTATGGGGTGGTATCATTCATCGACCCGTGCTCGTCAAGCTAACCGAACCATGTCACCAGTGATCTGACTCCAATAGAGCCTCAGATCTTCTGCCCTGTGGACACATTCAGCTGGTTTTAGCACATTGATACGACCTCTAACACGTGACCTGACGTGAGCTCAGAGCTGCAGTGAAACCTGCTGAGCCGAACAGTGGAGATATTCTGTTTGAATCCATTTGGAGCAGAGAGGGCACCAGAAGTGGGTACAGGTTCGAACAGGCCGATAGAGGAGAGACAAAAAATGGGACATTTCTGCTATCAGGGTGGGATCTTGTTAAAATAATTCTGTGGCTTGTATGTGTGGCTGTAATGGGTCAAAGGTTAAAACTGTTATCTTGTAATCAGAAGTGGACACCTGCTTGGAACCATTCTTTGTCTTGGTGATGATGTATTCTCTCTTCAGTTTATTTTTTTTTGGAGTTACTTCACTGAACTTTTCTCTCCCGTTTAACCATGTTAATCTGGACTATTGTTTAAGAATTATTACTGGAGATCAAATTAGAAATCCAGTCCAGAAACCTGTGTACCTGTCTGTTTTATTTTAAACAGCTAAAATTAAAAATGCTGTACTCCTGTTTCAGGAGGGGGTGGATGAGGGAAACGTCCATTTCTCTGATTTAGACTGGACTGTTTTTCACGAGACACAACCTTGGGGAGGGAGAAAAATGACGCACAAAAACAATCAAAATTAAAAAATATTATATACTAAGTAACTCTAGTATTAAGCAATCCTATTTTTTTCACAGAAAATGTATTGCAGTTTTTAAAATGTGTGTGGTTAGTGACTCAGGAAATTAATGTCCACTCCACCCCGTTTTTGCTCACGAGCCGCCACTGGAAACTAAACCTGGACCATAGAAACTAGAAATGGACCAGTCATTCTGTGTCTCTTTGCTGTCCTCTTTATCTTCTGCCAGCTGAGGCTGCTCATCCTGAGCCTGGTCCTGGTTCTGCTGGACGTTCCTTTCCACAGTCACCAACATGCTGCTCAGGATGGGTGATTGTAACAAATTAAAGAGTCAACACAATCTGCTGCCTTCCTTAGACAACTTTTACTGAATAGTGTTTTATAATGCGTGTGAACATTTTTGTGACCGAAGATTACTTTTGTTGTTATTATAGATAAACTGAACAGCATTAGAGGAGGGGGCAACCGCCAAGGTGGTGGAAATTTAAGTAACATCCAAAGCCTAGAATATGGGTTTTCGTGCAAAACACAGCAGCACAACTCACTGGTTCCAGTCAGACCAGCTGAAAACTGGCCCAGCAGCTGCAGCGAGACACTGACTTTAATCTGAACAAATATTTTCTCATTCCTGTTTTTAGATCTGCTTATCTGGTCAAGTCTTCAGCCGAGTCATACTTCCACCTCAGACTCTGCACCTGCAGTTTGTTCTTGTTCTTCACCTGCACAACTACCATGTGCACATTTTCTTACGTGCACGCGCCGCACCCTGCAGGTACAGAGGGCTGGATGAGCCGCTGGTGATGACGACACAGTAGGTTTGTTTGTGGCTGCTGAAAGCTAAATAAAAACATCCCACCTGTTTAAAACTGAGGCAGCACGCGCTGCTTTATTCCGGCGTCTCTAAAAGTGAAGCCGATCGGTTTAATCGATGATCAGTTTGACATTGATTTCATCCTTTTTGTGCCTTTAATAACAGATCCACAAATAAAGTTAAAATTGTGATTTTCTGAGCGGAGTTTGGTGCGCATGTCCGTCACATATGTAACACATGTAACCAAAACACCGAGCTGCGGTTAAGCTCCGGTGAATTTATCTGCCCGGCGGGAACAAAATCATCACATTTTAACGCATTCACCACAGTTTGATTTATTTAAAGTACCAAATGCTCGACAATGTAGTCCGTTAGCTTCACAGAGAGCCGGATAACGAAAACACGAGGTAAAAACTCAATTTAGATGAACTACAAAACCCTGCGAGTCTGCAGTCTGAGCTCAAAGACAAATAAAATAAAAACATGTATACATTTAATTTGATTTTGAATCCGAGAGAAACAATAAAACTTAAATTTCTTACTTTCTCCAGCAGCCCGCTTTTGCCGTTTCGCGCAGCAGCCATCTTTAATTTCCGCCGTGACCTGGAACAATCTGATTGGTTGAGAAATGGATGACGTAGTATTAGTCACTGCGCCTGCGTGGCAGCGGAGAC